TTTCATTTGAAGAGGTCTGAGTGATTTAGGGACATTATCTGAATGGATACAAGCCATAATCTTAAGAGAGAAAATGTTGTATGTTCAGATAATGTTCAGTATTCCATGATTGAAAAGGAATAATGCTTTTGCCTAGATGCTGAACTGCTGCATTGAGAGAAAGAGGGCCAGAGATGAGGCTCGCAAGGTGCTGGACGGGAACAAAGAACGAGAGAGCAGGGTGTCTGGTGGCTACCAGAACAGCTTTCCTGTACCAGAGTCACCAATTGATACAGCAGCAGCATCCGCCTCAACAAGGGAGATGTCTGTGGGAAAATCCTGGGACTCTTGGAGCGACAGTGAGGAGGAATTCTATGAGTGTCTGAGTGACCAGGGGGAGGTAGAAACTCCATATACTGAGAAAAAAAAGGATGGAAGCAAAAGTAAAGCAGAGGGCAGGCTGCACCCCTTTAACAACATGACTCTACTCAACTCTGCAGATCCTATCTATGTTCCTGTCACACAGGTTAGGGTCTCTCTGTCTCTTTAACTCATGCATCCACAGAAATAAAAAAAGGAATACACATATTTCTGTATTGTACAGTATATACTATATATTAGTATTATCAATTGATCCAAAGAGGGCATACACTGAGAGAAAACTAAGCTTATATGAAACTGTTAATATATAGAGTTATGGGGAAAAAAGGAAATTATGATCAAAGCAACAAGAGGACTTTTTTGTTATTGGGGTTTATATTTGTTTAATGTTCTACTTTTTAGTGCATCTTTTATACCTGAATAAATATAAGGGTCTCTGCAAAAATGGGACATAATTCTCATAGCGAATTAAGGCCTGAGCCTGCTCATTGCCGCTTGGTTTTCACCCATATAATGACAAAGACCTTCCCTCGACGACCTCTTATTGATTGCCTTGGCATGGGGAGCCATTTTCATATCAAACCATTTCTTCAATATTTCCATGAAAGTGTGACCCACAGCATTACCTGCACCGCTTTAGACACTGACTCAATTCCAGTGCTGATGCTGCTAAGATATATAGACTTTCCTGTCTGCATTTTGGAGGGTAGGACATCTCTGTACTAATAATGTTCTTCTTTTTACTCTTAGTGACATTTTCATGAATGAATACTTCTTATATGGTGTTATGGTATTAAGTGGCATTCAACAAGTTTATGCAAGAATTTAGGATAAGAACACAAAACTCATATTAGGCCCAATGTAAATAAAAGCATAACGGATTTTTCTTTTAAGGTTTGTTCCCATCTTTTAATTACGTCAAGTAGGGAAGTCTGTGCACCCAGTGCAGTTTGGACAAGGGTATGATTTACACCAGTTGGTACCTGTATCAGGGTTCATTTGGTTGTTTGCTGTTGCAAAGCATAAAATAAAAAAAATAAAAATCACTGAATCACATATTAACAAAAACTAATTGCTCATTAATGTGGAAATGACATTAGTAAATGGAGGAAGACTGAAGCTTTGCATGTGTTTGATTTTCAGGAACCTGCTCCCATGACAGAGGATCTGTTAGAGGAGCAGTCAGAAGTACTTGCCAAACTGGGCACATCTGCTGAAGGTACCCACCTCCGTGCCCGGATGCAGAGTGCCTGTCTACTCTCTGACATGGAGTCCTTTAAGGTGAGGAATGCCTGTGTTGTTAATTATTTTAACAGTATAAATGTATAATTCAATACTCTTTTTTGTCACATTCAGTGAATATCTCCTTACAGTGTGCTTGTTGTCTTTTCTGTGTGTGCTGAAAAAATCTGGCTTCTTTGCACTTCATGACTGAGTCACTTAACACTATTCCAGTTAGTAAGTCAGAGGGGTGTTTGTGTGAGTGCACAAGACAGACTGCTGAAGCCAGTTGCACATCAACCTCTTCCTCACCATTGTAAAGTAGAAAATATTGTAGGTATAAATCTGCCATGTTATTTTAGACATTTCTCTTTTACAATCAACAATAACCAACATTGCCCCATGTATCACTGACAATAAGGTATTTACTGTTACTGGAGGTTACTAACAATAATGTTGCTGTTGATATAAAGGCAAAGTCCATGTTTTTTTACATTAGTCCATAATGGAAAAACTAAACATCTTTTGAGTTTTTATGACAACTGAAGGCTACCATGGGTTCTTTAACATGTTTGAAAGTGGAGGGTGAGGTGAGGGGTGCTCAAGCTGCAATAAGTAACTTCAACACTAGATATCACACAATTCTACACACTCTACCTTTAAAGAATTGACAGTAGAAAATGTAACATTAACTAGGGCTGTGAAGCAGCACTGAGCGGGCCCGAGCACTTGCTAACTCGGGACCTGACCGTGGGGAGAGCGGACAGGGTCCGGACGAAACAGCTCCGTGTTGCGTGCATTTTTGCGCACTGCGGGAAGAATAAACATTTCACTTCCTTTTTGGCGAATCATCAAACTTTGACGCCATGCCATGGTCAGAGACTTTTTTCACAATCATACAGATACAGCATGCTCAATTAATAAAGCTAGTTCACGTTACCATAGCATTAGCATTCTGACCACGTTATTTCACAGTGTTCAAAATAAACAAGGGACACATCCTGACTAAGCGAGTGCAAGAATACAGTTACATACATGTTGTGTTTCTTTGACCACAAGTGTGATTTAACCAGTTACAAACCTGTAAAGAAAAGACAAAGTATTAAAAAAAACATAACAGGGAATGGGCTTTCTTCCCATGTTTTCCCCTTTTGGTCAAAATCAGGATCTTCTATCACCATTCCACACATGGAACTATACAGATTATACTGTACTTTATTAAATCACAAAATGTGACCACACACTGTGTGCAACTTAACCAATTCAGATGGTTTGCAGGAAAAAATAGAGCTGCATACCATCTGCATATTATTGGAAAATCTGTGTATGATTCGTTCTATTCATACCTGTTTTTAAATTTTCCTACTTGTGATCTGAAAAAATTCAAACTACGAAAAATTAAAAATTTTTGGTATCAGATTTATAAATTAATAACAAAGTGATGACTTGTTTTTTTATTTTCCAATTTTGGTTTTCTAATTGAATATGAAAAGTACGAATGATACAAAGATTTGTAATGAGAACACAATGTGAGAGAGAGAGAGAGAGAGAGAGAGAGAGAGAGAGAGAGAGAGAGAGAGAACTGAATGGATGAGATACCTATCAGAAACAGATTTTATGAGGATGGCCTGAGGGCCCAAGGTCCTCTATGTGGGATCTATGCTCACAGCCCAGCACCGTGCAGCTTGATTGGCACCTCCACCACTGGCACCCTGTTCTCTTCACAGATGACAGCAGGTTCTTACTAAGCACATGTGACAGGCATAAAAGTGAGGAAATTCATGAATTTTGGATAAGCCTGTGATTTATTAAAATAGCTAAAAACTGCAGTCAGCAAGGGAACACCTTTGCAATATATTGTACAATATGCATCATGTTAAAATAATGTGACATGCCATCTATAGTGTATAGAGCAGCCACCATCTGTGTCAAGGTACCTCCACCTGTCCTTTATGAGACCAACTTTTCATTCTAGCATGGTATTGGTGTCCATATTACACACTAAAGCTTTCAGACTCGCACTGAACTCTGCAGATATTTTTTCCAGAGGCGGTGCATGTGAATACAGATGTCCGAGTGACAGCCTCCTCAGTTTCTCCAGACTTTCTCCGCCTGGTCTCCTATTTTAAAGTCTATAGGAAATCAGGAGAATCTGATGTGAGAACACAGGATTCCCCACTTGATTCACCATTAGCGATTGGAGGGTTGATGTAAAAAAAGAAACAAAATATCTCCCAGTGAAAAAGCAGTGACACACACGTAGAACACACCAAAAAAGATGTCAAGAGAGTTTGTGGTGATAAGAGCTGACAGTGGTGTCTGTGTGAGAGAAGCATGTGATCTATGCAGTGGAATTGATTACCTCCTGCATTACCTCTCGCCTGAATAATGCAGAGGATTTGTAGAAATATTATCAGAAATATTTAACTTACTAATATTAGTCTTAATATCAGCTCCCAATAATCTATGTTGGTCAAGCATGAGTATCAACGCTAACCCATCCTCAGTATTATTCATTGTTAATACTAGAAAATGTCCCTTGTGTCTCTGCAGGCAGCCAATCCAGGCTGTGTTCTGGAGGACTTTGTGCGCTGGTATTCACCAAGGGATTACATAGAGGAGGAGGTAATCGATGAGAAAGGTAACACAGTGGTGAAAGGGAATCTTAGTGCCAGGATGAAGATCCCAGGCAACATGTGGGCAGAGACTTGGGAGACAGCCAGGGTTACACCTGCACGTCGCCAGAGAAGGCTTTTTGATGACACTAAGGAAGCAGAGAAGGTAATTTTATGTAGAACTAGAACGTTTTTCAACATCAGTAAATGTTTTCCATGAGTGGATTTTCCTCTGTAAACAAATATAAAAGGCAGATAAATGGGGGAAACTAAGCTTGGATTTTGATTTTGCCTCTGTAGGTTCTGCATTATTTGGCTGTACAGAAACCTGCTGACCTAACACACCATCTCCTGCCCTGCATACTCCATGCTGCTATTATGAAATTGAAGGAGGAGGGTAAGTCACACTTTAGTGCACTGCTAGCACTGGCAAACTACCACAATATTATCAATATAATAATACATTAGAAAACAATTTAGACAAGAAGTGGAAATAACATGTTTGTGAATGCTTGATTCTTGTTGTTGTGGATTTGTACCCTCATAGTTAAATGCACCTACTGTAAGTCGCTTTAGATAAAATCGTCAACTAAATGAAATGTAATGTAGGACCTACATGTATAACCAAAGCCTGCGACCACATGTCTACTTTGTTCTGAAGACAAAGACAAGCTTCCAAAACTCCTAAGGTCCTTCATCTTACCCATAGGTGACCCAACATTTGACCCAACATTTAACCACTTTTAGTCACTGTATGCCTCAGGACCATACAGTCTATGCTCAGGACCCATGAGGTCACCAGACCAATAAAAGCTCCCACTCTCTTCTCTCTCTTTCTACTCACTTTTCCTGGAGGAGAAGCTGGCATTTGGGAGTCTGAGTGGCAGTAGCTGGTGCATCATTTTACAGAATAAAGAAACAAAAGTGAACATTGGAGCCTGCAAACATTTTCAAGTAGTGCCCTAAATTAAAATTAAGAACCCCCAAAACAAGCATAATGTGTCTCATTTAAGTAAATGTTGGCTGTTTTTGAATTGTTTTAATTTTGTCTGTGCAGGGTTCAGTCAGGGACATAAAACGTCTTAAAAAGTGTTAAATTTAGTAAGCCATACAAAGTCTTAAATGCTAAAAAACACTAAAACTGGCTGCTGTCATCCCCATCCTCAAAAAACCCGGACTTGACCCTTTCTGTCAAAAATACTGGCACACATTGTCGCGTCCCAAATCCCTCACTAAAACCAGTCACAATTTCTGCCTCACCATCGACAATTCCACTCTTTCTCCCTCCTCACACATCCACAACCTCGGAGTCATGTTTGACAGCAACCACTGCTTTTTATGTTAATTTTAACATTTAACAAAGTGTGTTTTAAGTACTTTGAGAAGCACTCTATAATTAAAATGTATTATAATTATTATACATTACTACAGTATATTCTGTTGAAACTATTTTTTATTGATATGAAATGTAGGGGTCTCATTTTATGTTTTCCCAACTTAAATCAATTACTTTTATTCTTATCCCGTCTCCTCTTTACTCTCTCTCTCTAACAGAGTTAGTAGAAGACATTCCATCGGTCAAAAAAAGCATTCAGCAAGCTACATCTCAGGCCAGCAAGCTTCTGCAGCCCCACAACCATGACAACAAGAAATTAGAGGTCAGTGACACGTCAGGGTTGGCTTTAATGCCATAAACTACAATCTCATGGATCTACGATCCCAGCTGATGGCCTTATTGTCGAGGGTTGGTTCGGGTCCTCATTATTATCACAAGCCTTGATAAAAATATATAATGATATAAAAGTTTACGACCTGAAGCATTTGAGACTCCGCAACTGAGTGTGCTTGAGCATGGGCATTATTGTACTGAGATTCCTCTGCGCTCTGCAGATTTGGACATGGGGTGGAGAAGTAGCATCTGAGTGCGTAACCACTGTCACCTGCAGGATATGGCAAAGTGTCATTATACATCAGGCTTTCTACAATATGCTGTTTATTGACTTACCATGCCAGCTAACAGACACAGTGCCTACCTGCAGTTGGGCGGCTGTGGCTCTGGAGCGCAGGTGGCTTACTTAGCAGATGGTTGGTGGTTTGATTCCCTGCTCTTCCATTCTGTGTGCCAAAGTGTTCTTGGGCAAGACGCAGAACCTCAATTTGCCCCAGCTGGCTGTGCCATTACGAGAGTGCGACAAATAGATGCACTGTATTAATGAATAGGTGGATGGCAAAACTGTACTGTCAAATGCTTTGACTGGCCATCAAGACTAGAAAGGTGTTATGTTCCTCGAGAGTCTTACTTGATGTATCGACTACTCATTTTAATAATGAGCTATTAACATTAACCAACAACCATAAATAGTCCTATTAAATCTGATTTAATATGGAACTATTATTTTAAATAAAAATGTACGGATGTTTAGGATCTAATAGTCGTGGATGGTTTAGACTAGTGAAGTCAGCTCAAAAAGAACTATAGAAGAAAAGTATAAATCAAAGGCTACTGTACTGGACAATGCATCGTTCTATTATTTGGGAGGAGGTAGGGAATATATGGACTAGTTAATAAGGTGGAGTCAAAGCCTTTTTAGTTAATTTTCTGTTCTGACAACATGTTTTTGTGACCTTTCTCTGTCTGCAGGATTTCATCAACCAGTTGATGACCATGGAAACAGTCATCACACAAGCTCGCTCACTCAAGGCCAAGTTTGCCGTCAATGAGGGTGAGAGTAAAGAGGACACAGCTGAACTAGAAAAGTAAGTTAGACATTGCTTTATTTTAGGTGCATTTCAGTTTAGAACCTTGGTTTTATATTTGAGCAGGAACACTTTATTCTTTCTGGAAGAATTGTGTTTAACTATTGCCCAAATTAGCAAGTCAGCTATTGAAATGGCAAATAACTTAAGTGCTCCACCTGAATTATACCTATAGGTGCAAATTCAATTCAATTTTATTTGTATAGCGTCAAATTGTAACATACATTACTCAAGGTGCTTTTGACCTCAAAGATTATAGAGAAATCCAACAGTTCCCTCAATGAGAAAGCACTCTGGCGACTGTCGAGAGAAAGAACTCCCTCATGGACTGGAAGAAACCTCAAGCAGAACCAGACTCAATGTGCCTCAACCGCTTGGGGTGAGTGGAGGAAAATAGGGAAGAGAGGAGAGAGAAGAGTTTAACAGTTGTTATAATTTAAATATTAAAAGGGATATATATAATTGTAATAGTGTTATTAATGATTGTAGCAGCTCCTGCAGCTCTGGAGTCAAGAGATGCCTGCAGAATATGAGAGAAACTGGCAGAGAAAAAACAAAAAACAGTTGTGACGTGTAGTAAAATAAATGGGGGGTCAGGATGACAGAGAGAGAGGGCGAGAGAAGTGTACAGTGTATGATGGGAGTTTCCCCCAGCTGTCTAGGCCTATAGCAGCATTACTAAGGGATGGTTCAGGACTCACCTGATCCTGAGTTGGTTCCACAGGAAAGGAGCCTGGTAGCTGAATGCGCTACCTTCCATTCTACTCTTACAGACTACAAGAATCCCAAGTGAGCCTGTATTTTGGGAGTGAAGTGATCTATTGGGACAATCTCTTTTAGAGAGATCCAATGCAGAATTAGAATAGGGATGTCGGGATTTACCAATTAGTTTTCGGTTTCATAATGTCACGGTTTCATAACAATAAGAATTGTAACTACGATTTATAACTATGGTGTCCTGCCTCTTGCAAGTCACATTCTGTGTGTGCATGATGCGCTTGTGTGTGCGAGCCACTGAAACTTTAGTTGAGAAGGGGTAAGTTAAGTAACTTGTTTCTACCAACGCTGGACAAAAAACTCCATCAGAGGAGTTCACAGCGAAAGGAGAAATCCTTGTTTACTTTCAGTTTCTGACCAACTCCAAAGGAGCGGCTGACATGCGGACACGAAGACACACACACACACACATACACACACACTTAACTCTCTCTCTTTCTCTCTTCCTATTAACTATTATAAATGTAGCCGAGAGTTTAATTCACCTATACCGAGAGGTAATAGTACAGAAGGACATGAAGAATGTGTGCTTGAACCAGGACAATGCGCAAATTTACTTTTTCACAACTAGTCAACACTCGCTCCCGAAACAGAACAACTTCCAATTTTCATGAGATTTATATTATGTGTGAGTCAGTTGACCTGTCCTAGTCAAAAATAACTCCAAGGTTCATCACAATGGAGCTGGGGTCATGCTAATGCCATCCAAGGTGACTATCTGGTCATACAATGTTTCTCTAAGGTGTTGCAATAACCTACATTTTTTCAGAATCTAGAGGTAAAACATTCAGTTTTGCTAACTATACTGTATATTGTATCAGTTGTTATTCAGTTTGTATGTATTACTGTTGGGATTTGATTTCTCCAGGTTTGTGAGTTCTCTCTTGGAAGAACCGGAGGTTGTAGTCGTTGGAGCTGGCCAGGGCCCAGCTGGCAGCATCATCCACAGACTCTTTGTCAGCGCTCAAAGGGTAAGCACTTTCTCTCTCATGCTCCATTGAGACTGTTTACATGGGATGGTCACGCAATGTATCTTACCATGAGAAGTCCTGGTATTTAGGTATAGAAAGGGAAGCAAAATTAGATAGTGCTACAAATGGATTGTCCCCGCAGATGGCCATTTATCTATCAGGCAAGGACAGTGTTTGTTCTGATAAAAAAGGTCCAGAGGAGGTGACAAAAACAAGTATGCACAGACACACACAAACACTGACATAAATATTGATTGAATTATAAACAGAGTGGAGACAAGTCCTTTCTAAGTAGTTTACAGTTTAACGAACATATATTCTAAAATGTCTAATATTACATTGTGCTACTCCCTAGCATTGCATTTTTTTGTGCCCCACAAAATGGTTCAAGCAGTTCCTCAGGCCCTCTTGAGACATGTTTTTTTCTTTTTTTGTTGTACATTTTCTCCATTAGACAATGTTTTTGTGTTGTTTCTCCCCCTGCTGCTTGTGTCAAGCTGACTGACTTCACCAGTGATGAGGTAACAATTAACAATGAGACCTTCTTTCCAAAAACATGTATACCCTGCAGGGTATACATGTGTCTACAGTTCCTCTATGACTTTTTAACAAATGCACAGAAATGCAAAAATATGCATATACTTATGGTTTCTAGGAGTCTGTGTGCATCAATAATAACCATTTTAATTTTTTTATTATAAAAAAAAATGCAATTTTACAATTTATGCCTCCTAAAATGTATGAATTCTATATTTTGCGGGAATTTGGGATTGATTAAACATTTAATTTACCTTCATTTACACAAGTCAATATGTGCATTTTTGGGTATAGTCTGTGTATGGTGTTTAATGTGATTCTATTTTTCAGCTTTAGTTAATTGCTTATGGTATCAATTGAGTAATCGATATTTGATAATAATAATTATTAGCATATTACAGTATATAATTTAAATGTTGGTGAACATATGCAGTGTGTTTCCTGTGGATCAAGAGGTTAGGTGTGGGGACAATTTGTTATTTGTTACTTTTGCTGTTCATATACATACATATACATTGTTTCAGTTGAAGGTTATTTCATTGTAGGATAAAAAAAATTGCTTTGATATGAAAGAAATTCTCAGAGAACTATAGCTGTAAACTATGCAAGGAACCTCTCACTTGGTGCATTGTTAAGTATTAAATTAAGCCTGTCAATAGTTGGAAGATTTATTGGCTCAGAAATTGTGCAATAAATGATATTACTTTCACAATTTTTAAACTATTTATACCACTATCACTAAAAAGATAATATGAGAGCATAAGCATGCAAGTACAACCTTTCAGCAGTGAACTTTTAATTCTAAAGAATATTCAGATATTTGAAAGACTGGACACGGATGTGGAAATATAAGCAAAACTGCTCTGTGTCCGTGTCCTTTCTTTCAAAGCACTTCGCCATGATGGGTGTGAGTACTATAGGGTGGTAGTCAGTGTTGATGCCAGTGACTTCTTTGGCAGTTAACAGATTAGACCTGACACACCAGCAGCGCTGCTCTTCTAGAGGATAGAGGTCTCACAGATTTTTTTCTACGTGCTGTTCTCAGCAGTATAAACAGTGAAAATGATCCATCACCATAGTTTTAATGCTCGAATATTTCTGAAGACACATCTTTATTATCCTTTGAATATGTCGCAAAAGTAAATGTTTGCATCACTTCCTGAACCCATTTTCAAAATCAAATCACTCCTGTGTCTATGTTAACTGAATCCATTCATTTGTTTTAAAGAGTTTTTTTTATTTTTTAGTATTTGCAGTAGCTGAAGATGCACAGCTTCATACTGTATAGTACCGGTATTTATTTGAGTACATAGGACTCCTTTTAAAATACAGCGATCATACCAGAAGCCTCACAAGGGCTGAAGCTATATTTAAAGTTCACATTAAGAACTTCAGGTGATGGGCAGTAGGCAATGTTGATGTGTGGTGACATGATGGGAAAAATACTGTTATTTTTGGACATTTTCAAGGTAAACCTTATTTAAAAACAAACAGTGGAGCTGGCAGTAGACGCTCCTCCAATGTGACAGGTACACAACTGCGACACACCGCACGCAGAACGGCGTCCCACATAACCAGTCATATTAGATAAAAAAAACCTACAATCAATCAAAGTCCTTTACAAGATCTTTTCTTATTCACAAGTAAGGTTCTTTCTAACAAGTGTCACTATTGTATCTTCATTTCCTCTTTTGAAAGCAGTGTTTGTGACATGGACGTTTGCACAGCCTGCCTGTATTTGTATATAGTAGGAATCAATCGTCTGAGTGGTCTCAGTCTTGTGGACTGTATCAGTCCACTGTATATAGTCAGCTTCCCTTTTCCTTCATCCCCCGGGAGACTGGACAGGGGCAACAGTTTCTTCCTTATATATTGAAGATAACTGAACCTGGAATTATAATCATAATTAAGTTCCCGATATCAGTAATACATATAGAAAGGGCATTGTTCATGAACACTAAGTTTCTTTTTGATTGTCTGATTGATAATCGATTAATTGAAAAAATAATCAACAGATTGATTATCAAAGTAGTTGTTAGTTACAGCCCTAATATAAAAAGAGAAAAGGATAGGAGGATTACTGTTTATAAAATTAATATTAACACACTGTTCACAACCCTTCAAATAAGAAACAAACCATGACAGTGACTGTTTAGATGAGTTCGGAAAGTAAGTTGTGGTTTACTGTGTCGAATGCTTTTTTTAAAAGCCAGAAACACTGCTCCTACTACATTCATTGAGGGATTATTTCATGTTTTCCAATAGTAAACATGTAGCTGACTCTGTGGTATGGTTATGTCTAATCATGTTTTGTCTCTAAATAATGTAGCGGTTGTTCTGAGACAAACTTCTTCAGAACTTTAGACAGTACTGGAAGAAAATGGATCTGTCTGCTATATTTTGAAAAAGGCATTTACAAGTCATTTTCTAACCATCTGGCAATTGTCAATTTTGATAGAAACATTGACAAGAAGAGGAGGCTTAAAGGTAGTTTTGGTGAACTATCCCTTTAATCAGAATGCTGCAGTATCTTTTAGGAACTTATACTGTAACTTTTTCATGAACAAAGAAGGCATCATGCATTTTTTGAGTTATCTCTGTATACTGTATGACTATAGTCTCAACCTAAAGTTTATATAGCCAATATGATTAGAGACATGAATTACAGCTTATCTAGATTAACCAATTGTTTTTTGTTTTTTTTTATAAATGGTCACAATATAATTCATTGATTGAATGACATCATTATGAAATGTCATAAATACAATATAAAAAAGTAAGCTTTGAACAGCAACAGAACAGTCTGGTCCTTTGTGATGAACCGAAAGATCAAGGTTCTAAACCATGTTTTTTCCGGGTAACAGCTCATCATCCGCATTGCGCTCTGTTGTGCTCAGCGAGGATCCTTCAATGCTGCTTGCAGCTATAATTGTCATTGTCGCTCAGGTCGTAGAGCGGGTCATCCTCTAACCAGAAGGTTGGTACTTCGATCCCAGTCTAACCAACCCCAAAGTGTCCTTGCGCAAGATATTGAACCCCAAGTTGTCCCTGATAGCTGTGCCAACAGTGATGTATGATATAGAAAGAGTTGCACATAGATGGTCCTTATGAATGTGTGTGTGAATGGGTGAATGGCAAAAAGCTGTACTGTAAAGTGCTTTGAGTGGTCACCAAGACTAGAAAAGTGCTATATAAAATACATACCATTGACCATAAAGACCATTTTTTGTTATTTTTGAATTGGCCACGCTTCTCAGGCCCATTTAATGTGCTCACTCCACCGATATTGGATACTGCAGCAGCATATCAGAGCCTTCAGTTAATTTTTTTCTCCCTGTCTATATGAGTAGAAGCTTACACCTGGTTACCTCCGCCAATAAATTCTACTTTGAATGCTAGTTCGATCAAGGCCCCATATGAAACAACATTTAAATTTGCACTTGTATTGGAATCTGCACCAAATTGCACACAATCACAAATATCAGTCTCCTAAACATGCCTCATTCTTTACAAGTTTTGGGAATTATTTTCTGAGAAATCAACAAAAATTTTGAAAGGTCCCTCATCTCACAATGGTAAAGATGATGAAAAAATTCTGGATCTGCCCCCTGATCTAGATCAGCACCAAAATTGAATGGGTTCTTCCTTTGATCGTGACTCCACAAAAATTCATCGAAATTCAGCCGGGTGCAGCAGACAGAGAGTCAGCAAGTGAAGTATTAACACAGCTGCATTGATAATGGTAAATGGTTTGTATTTATATAGAGCTTTTCTAGTCTTGATGACCACTCTAAGCTCTTTACAGTACAGTTTGCCATTCACCCAGTCACACACACATTCATACAGTGTATCTATTAGCAGCACTATTTGTTCTATGAGGGGCAATTCGGGTTCAGCATCTTGCCCGAGGACACTTCGGCAAGCAGATGGGAAGACTGGGGATTTAACTGCCGTCATTCTGGTTGGAGGACAACCGTTCATCCACAGCCATAATGTGATCATGTGAACAGCTACTGACACAGATGTCGGCTCTTATCACCACAAACTGTCTAGACATCTTTGTCGGTAACTTCTATGTGTGTCTCACCATTTTTTCACCTGGAGATATTTGTTGTCTTTTTGTTTTCTTGTTATTTGCGTCATTACGTGTTAGAAGCATCAAAAACCACACAACCCGCTTGCTCGCAGGGAATCCAGCAGGGGATCCCCTGCTGTGTTCATTCATCAACTTCTCCTGACTTTCTACGGACATTATACCAGGAGGTCAGGCAGATTAAAACCGTAGACACTGCGGAGCAGTTCACACATGCACTGCCTTCACACATGCACTTCCTCTGGGGAAAATATGAGGGATTTGTGGATTCCAGTGCATGTCCAAAAGCAGTTATACTGACTACATAAAGATCTTTTCAATATCTTCCCGATTTCCCTTTTAATTACAGGTAACTTCAATTTCTCTTTATCCTCAGGCTACTCTCCTGACACCACTGGACGAAGAGTTGGGAAATGCCAGGAAGCCAACTGGAGTAAGCAACAAAGTGCCTGACTTCCCCTCTCCGGCTGGCAGGGAGATTATTTTGCGTACATGTGTCCCTCGGCCGGCACCGTACTCCAAAGCTCTGCCTCAGCGGCTCTTCTGTGTGCTGTTGAGGGAGGAGTTCAGATTGGCAGGGGCCTTCTCTTCAGACACTTCCTTCTTCTAAGATTAAATACCATTTCACTATATTTGTTATCAAATCATGTTGCATTTGGTCATTATAATCTGCACCTTGCAACCAGAAGTAGATCAGTGAAGGGCAAAGGCTGGCATATTGAAAATAATTAATTTAGTTTATCCTCCATAGATTCATGAGTACACAATTACAAGTATCAAGTATTTTTATAAAGAGAGAGTTTAAAAGAAGGAACAAAATAAGTTTCACTTTGCATCTGTATGCAATATGACCAGAAATGTTCCTGAGACACATCGAAAGGACAGCCTGCTCAACCTCTGGACCACTATGGTTTCACCATGAAGCAAAGTATTTTTACACTTCTCAGTGGCCATTTATTTGTGACCACCACTAAAATTTTAACACCATTTACTTTTCTTTTTTTGTCAAATTAGTGACTGTGACTGTAATGACACACACACACTGACAACAGACACATCTATATAGTTAGACTGCTTAAAAACAACATTTGGTTTTTGGTCACAAACGGAAATGACATGTTGTTTATTTTCATATAGAGCAGAGAAGTGAGATCTGATCACAGGAGACGCATTCAGGAAGGATTGTAACTGAACAGATGTACTTAAACTTGTGCATTTGTGTTCAGATCTCTCAGGAAAGATGTATGGTTGTATTTTTACACTCATGATGTTTTAATGAGACAGACAAACACAATGAAAGTGTTGTGCATTAATTTGATCATATTTGCAGCATAAAATTGTTATTCTATAATTAATTGGCTGCAATAATATCCCAATTTTATACTATATTTAATTGTCTTACAACAAAAATTCAATATGTAAATGAAAATTAAATAAAGCTAAATCAAGAATTAAATAATGGCCATAAAATAATTTCAAAAATATCCTTTGTTTTACCTTCACAGCTTATTCTTTGTAGATTTCTCAAATTTAAGTTCTGTATTGACATGTCACCACCATTCTCTTCATCTGTTGTCCTTTGTATTAGATTTGTAAGACATTGTTGACATAATGCCAAGTAATAAAATAACATGAATAATCTTCATATCAAGTTCTATCCTTGTGTTAAGATCCACATTAAGTGTTTACTGATCCCACTTAATGATGTGCTGGTGGCATTTCTGTACTATTTTATAGGATTTAGAAGTTGGAGATTCCTCTTCCTCATAAATTCATGTTGTTAGTGTATGAGTGCAATGCAGAATCAATAAAACCCTGCTCATAAATACAATTACATCATTAATATTTACTTGTTGCCGCAAAAGCCAATGTGATCACTCAAAAGTTTGCATTGATTTGCATTTATTTCACTGAATAATTGTTGTCTATTAACTGATGGAAAATGGTACTGTGCAACTTACAAGTGATGGGAGTTATCTGTGTATGTGGGCTATGAGTGTCCAGTACATGTCAAATGTCCAAAATGTCCTCATGTAAATACATGCTGTACTCCTGTCTAAATCCTGTCCTTGCCATGGGTTGCTTATCTTCAAAGCTTGGCAATTAATAAATAGTGTGAAGTCCTCCAAAAAACCACAAGGCCTAACTTTTTGTGTTTGTTTACTGAAGAATGTTTACTGTAAAACTGCATCAAAGCAAAACTCCAAACACAAATTACAATACATTACAATTTAAGAACATAATCAAAAGATAGAAAACAAAGCTGGGTCATTGTGCTCACCACCACTAGTTTGTTAGCTTTAACACATTTTTACATGTTTCTCAACAAAATAGAAGTACAGCTACTGTGTTCTGCTTCTAAAATACAAAAAGTAATAAAAACGATACTTACGGTCCAAGGCAACAATGTTGTAAGTAAAAAATTGATATCACTGTGGCTGAGGAGTAAAGCAGTTGTCCTCCCCAATTTTCCCCATCTGCATGACGAAGTGTCCTTGTGAACCCCAAATTGCCCCTTATAGAACAAAAAGGTGCTGCTAATAGATACTGTGTGGGTGAATGGCAAACTGTACTGTCAAAAGCTTTGAGAGGTCATCAAGACTAGAAACATGCTATATAAATACAGACCTTTTTCTCTCAATTCCGGATCCCACGTGTGTTGTTCTCACCACTGTCCTGCAGCCCCTCCTTGTGTGAACTGCTACGGCCAATGAGGGAGAGAAGGAAGCACCCTGAGTAACGGGCACACACAAACACTGGCTCATACACATGCATCACGTTTCTTTGGTCACTTTCCTTTACATAGCTTTTAGCAGGCATTGAACCAAGTGTTTCATTCTCTGTGTCACATTCAACTCTTTCCCTAATCTTCATCCAACCCAGTCCTGAGCCGTGTGAGGTGTGGTCCAGTTAATCACAGCTGTTTGTCATCACTTTTATCCTTGTCCAAATAAACATGCGGTGTCAAAACAGCAAACATAAAAATGATTAAAACCATGCAACACACATAAAAAACTATTAAAACCAAATGCAAGACACAATATATAGCTACTGATAGAACCCAAACCGAATTAGCGCTGCAAAGCAGCACTGTGCGGGGCCTGAGCACTTGTGAACCATGGGACCTGATGCAGCCATGTGAGGGCGGCGGGGGGCCGGGTGAAATGGCCCCGTGTTGTGTGTGTTTTTTGCACCGCGGGAAGAATAAACACTTCACTTCCTGTGTCCATCACGCAACGCCAAACCAGTCCCACTAATCACACATTACAGTCCAAGCCATCAAGTCCAGACCAAATGGTCAAAATGTAATGTACATCGAATAAAAGTTGTAAAACGGGCTTATGCAGTTTCCATAACACTGTTGACAAACTTTCGCACCTTATCCATCTTCCCTGGTGGGCTGTACCTCCATTAGCGTCTCTGGTTAATTGAAGAAAGAATAATCTTCATCTGAGGAAACTGTTAGTGGAGGTAATGCCAGTCCTTCTTCATTGCTTTGACAAGCAGCACGCTTTTCACACGTCCCAAGTCATTGCCACCACAGTGAATCAATAGCACATCTGGGGCAGTTCTTCCTTTAAGGCACCGGTGGAAGACGTGAGTCCCAACACATGCCTCCCCTGCCAAACCACTGGATATAGGCACATAGACCATGGTTGGTCCCCATGGTTTCCCTTTCGTGGTCTTCACTGCGTCGGACATAACTATCACCCAAGGACATCGAAGGCATTGTGTCATGATCTAGATGTTCTAGGGTTTTATTTCTCATTCATAAATAGCATCATAGTTATCATTTATCTCTTAACATTGTCATTGTCACTTTAAACACTTAAAATATGGATGACAAATTGCAACAAAGACAACTGCTTGTCATGACATACACTAGCCACTGCTCTTCAGCTACTGGAACTTTAATTTCCCTTTCAGGGTGAGACATATTCAAAAATATTGTGCAAAAACATACCATCCTTCTGCTGTGTGAATGTCCTGCCAAATTGTACATGAACGACTGACTTGACTTTTCTGGAAAAGTGGTAAGAAAGTAAGGAAGTTTGTAAACATGATAGACATTTTCATAGCAACACTTTAAGTATAAGTGGTGACTGGCTACCAACATTTTTATATTCTAGAGGGTGTATATTTGTGAAACACATTTTTTTGTGAAGAGAAAAAGCATTTGCCATGTAATTCTTACCTCAATTTTGTAGAGAACATTTTCTGCCACAGAAATGACTTTTAATCCTTGAGTTGTTTAGTTTAACATGTATGGGAATGTACACTGAAATATTCAGTGTAGCGATGCCTTACAGCCCCTCTCATAACCAGCAAAACAGAAAGCAGATTTTTAAAGAGAGTTTCATATAGAATTTTGTTGAAACTAGTGCTCTAAAACATAAAAGTTGGGCCCAACTTGATCAAAATGAGGTCCCCTGTGACATGCTTTGTAGCGACGCTCACACTCCTACATGGATATATACATAAGGCCAGAAAAAAACATCACTGTCAATAGCTATGTGACCAAGTTGGAAAGGAAAAAATGGCCAGGTGTTTGATTCAATTCAATTCAATTTTATTTGTATAGCGCCAAATCATAATATACATTATCTCAAGGCACTTTACATAGAATCAGACTCAATGTGGGCGGTCATCTGCCTCGACCGGTTGGGGTGAGCATAGAAAACGGGGGAAGGAGAGGAGAGATGGGTGGAAAAGAGGGGAGGAGGAAGTAGGGGAGAGGGGGTGAGGAAGACCGGAAACATTTGAGCGCCATCAGGTATCAGATCTGACTAGTTAAAATGTAAACAACAGTGTAAAGACTATTAATTATTATTGATAACAGCCACAATTCATATCATAATGAATTACTGAAATATTGCAATTAATAATGGTAAAGTTGTTGTCCTGAGGTTCCGGGGTCAGAGATATCTGAAATGAGAGAGAAAAAGACAGAGTGAGACTATGGGAGTACAAAGTGAAATAGTCATTGACATTTATTAAAATAAATTAATTAATGAATGTGGGGGGGCAGAGAGACAGAGAGAAGTGGAGAGGTGCTCAGTGGATGATGGGAGTTCCCCCAGCAGTCTAGACCTATAGCCACATAACTAAGTGATGGTTCAGAACTCACCTAATCCAGAACTAACTATAGGCTTTATCAAAAAGGAATGTTTTAAGTTTAACTTTAAATGTAGAGATGGTGTCTGCCTCCAGAACCCAGAGTGGGAGCTGGTTCCACAGGAGAGGAGCCTGGTAGCTGAAGGTTCTACCTCCTGTTCTACTCTTACAGACTCTGGAACCCAGAGTGGGAGCTGGTTCCACAGGAGAGGAGCCTGGTAGCTGAACGCTCTACTGCCTGCTCTACTCTTACAGACTCTTGGAACCACAAGAGAGCCTGTGTTTTGTGAACGAAGTGATCAATTTAGATAATATGGTGTTATCAGGTCTTTGATATATGAAGGGGCTTGATTGTTGAGGGCTTTAAATGTGAGGAGCAGGTGTGGTGTCTGAAATGCCATGTGTTGTGTTCTCT